CCGCTTCTTGTTGAGAAAATAAATATTAATATTAAATTTGAAATATTTCCTCGTTTTTTGTTTTTTTTTTCCCTTTCTTAATCTTTTATCACTGATTTGCAATTCACTTCAACTACTGTCTTTCGTTTCGTGTTTACTAGTTACAGTACATTATTATAGTCTAAATTCGGCAAATCGACTTGCCTAGTAAGTTTATAGGCCTCTTTTTTAATAATTATGGAACATTGCCGTATCCTCGTCTCTTCTAGTACATCCTCTTCACCGTGTTCTTCTGCACTCCGTCTTTTTCTTTTTCTTCTTTTTCCATTAAAATGCACAAGCACACTTTTCTTTTCATTTTCCTTTTTTGCAACGAATTTTGCAAAAAAAAACTTTTCGAATCTTAACATCATACTTCTGTTCTCACACTTTACACTAAAATTCAAAATAAACGAGTTGATCGCTGCTCGCAACTGTGTAAGAGCTTTCTTAGAGGCCTGGTTCAAGAGGTCACCTATGGTTACTGCTGCTTTGATCGTTCATATCGTACAGAACTTGTGCGATTGTTCTCGATGATTCGACATTACTTAATGCCACACCTGCCAAATGTGGTTCATACGCTCTAAGATGCCTGAAAAAACAACACAGATAATAATGATAAAATTACATTTAAATACTAATTTTGTATCATATTTACTTTACTGTAATATACAGGGTGGTCCATAAATCGTTTCAACATTTAAAAATTAAATACCTTTTTTTTGTATTATATTTTTGAAAATTTATAAAAAGTTTATTCAATTTTTAAATATTAAAGCGACTTATGAGGCATCCTACATAATATCTGTATCATAGCATGCATTATAAATTTAAAATATCATTATTATCTGTTTTCTTAAATTAAAATTAATAAGAAATTGAAAACAATCTTTACCTTCTGCCATGTGTTGAATATATGACTAGGTTTCTGAGAATAAGAGCTGCTGTCAAGCGAATACTTTTGGTCACTGGACCTTCGTTGTCATCCTGTTAAAAAAACAAACGGTAATTAAGAATTTGTATCATTCAAATTTATTGTATTAAAAAAAAAAAGTAACAACCATCTAGTCACACTTTTAAGTAACACTAAAACAAATATAATATATCAGAATGATGTTTAAATTAATTAGTTGCAACAGCTTTGAACATTAGTAAAATACAATCATGAAAACAAAATGGGAACGCTGATTCAGGAAATGATATGCCGCATATGAACAGATCATAGAATTTCATGGAAAGCATCAGAGGAAACACTGATTTTTCCATGTTTACATTAGCATACTATAAAAAAAATCAAATTATTGTAAAATATGAATCGTAAAATATACATCTTGAATGCTAATAATGAACAATTTAATGCAAAATTAATTACAGCATGCTATGTAAAACTACATTGAAAAAGATTTTTAAATAAGCTTATTTTATAAAAATAGAAGTAAACTAATTTTATCTAGAGTACTATCTTCACAAAATATTCAACGTCCTAAAAAATTTCTTTTCCATTAAGAATTTATGTAGAAATAAATGTTCATAGTCTAAACTAAAAAAGTAAATCATCAAATTCTTGAATTGTATTTTTAAATAAAAGTTTCAGATAATTTTTTCTACATCATAAGCGCAACAAACACTCTACACGTTATGCTGCTCAAATTAAAATAATTACACCAGCACCTTTCGTCATCATGAATACACTTCAACTGCTTATGTAAAAAAAAACACATATAAATTAGAGCAACGCTAGTAGCTACGAGATGAAACTAAAATGAGAAATCCATGCTGATATAAAAGTACACACACCTGTGCATGTATACCGAGAGACGTACAATAAATAGTTAAAAAAATAAAACAACAAAAAATACACACAGAGCGTATGTTGCGAAAAACAAAAGAAAATGAAGCGCAAAAAAAAGGTAGGTAGGTGGCAGGAAAACAGCGCACAAGGGCTGTGACTGTGAATTCTGAATCCTTTCTTTCTTTTTTCTTTTTCAATTTGTTTTTTTTTTTTTTTTTCAATTTTTTTTTTTTTTTTTCAATTTTTTTTTTTTTTTTTCAATTTTTTTTTTTTTTTTTGAACACGTTTTTACCTGTTCTGGTGGAGGATTTTGCCCAGGTCTGGGGGAAGAAGAGCTTGAGGTGGCTGCAGCGGGCTTGGTCGGCCTTTGCTGCTTTGCCAAGAGAATAAGAAATTTCATTACATTAACAAAACTCAATAGACTCTATGAACCGTGGGACTATAAAGGATTCTCCGAAATATTCTAACCTTAAATCCGATTACATTACTAAACGCGTTATTTTAGACATAAGTACTGTACTATCTCGCGTAACTCTATCTTTTTAGTGCATCTATCAACCTCATAACAGAGAAGTGTTTTGTGCCTCTTTCATTTTACCAAAGTTAGCGTTTTACTTATAGCTATTTTGTAATTCATATCGTTGTGGGACTTTATAAGATACTACTAACCATTAACTCCTTGGGATTTACGAATTCCAAAGCGTGCCGCTTAATAGCATGGAATGCTGCATTTGGTGCATATCCAGGGTGATGAGGAGTCGGCGGTGTCGATGTGGAGACTTCGGTTTTGCCTGTCACCGTTAATTGTTTCCTCCTCATCGACATTGTCTATAAAATTATATTCAATTATAGGATCAATTCTTCTTTGTATAAGGAGCAGTACAAAGTGTCACAGTATAATCAGTGATTGTATTTACAAAAATTAATTAAAATTGCAGAATAAAATTTTTACATAAGAAGCTTTGTTTTGGGAAAAATTGATTTTGATGATTTGAAAAAGAAAAGTAATATTGTGCTTACTTCCGCATTACAATGCCTATCGTACAAATGTGTCATTAAGGAAAATCTACGCCTCTTCAAGGCGTCACAACTCGCCCATAGGCACAGTATCTCCTCCCCACCAGTTGGACAATGTGCCTCACACACGTGAAGGTAGACCTCATGTGGTGTTTTAAATTGCCTGCAATTATCATTTATTAGATGGATTAAATAATGTGGCTAATATTATTTAACTAAGTTCTGTCAATTAAAAATGAAGAATGAATAAATAAGCCATTAATTCAATATAAAAAAATTATTTCCTCCATTTTAAGATTTAAGACATGTCTCTAAATCTTCAGATCCCATTCCCAAATCACTCCACACAAAGAACAAACTCAATTACCTCAAACAACCCCGCCATTCACATAAATAGGCATTAGGATCAATCTTTATCGTGATGGTTTTTTCTGGTTGATTTTGACTTGTAGACGGTTTGGATTCCGGTTCAGTGGAGGTCGAGGAACTGACAGTCTTCATAATTTTAGCGGGTTGTTTTGCGGATAAGCCATGAGTCGCAGCCGCCTGATGGGGCGTGGTGGGTCTGGTGGGAGGGGGCGTTGACGCTGGAGTGGGCGTAACCACCCTGGATGGCACGCTGGCCGACACAGGTGTCTGCTGGGCCATCGCTGGTATCGTGACGGTGACCGTGTTCGGGTTCGTTTGTGCTACGGAACTGTTCACTATTATGGAAGTCTGTGGAATTGTGCCTGAGGTTGGAACGAGCGGCGGTGGTATGTTGCCAAGCGCTGGGCTCTGTAGGATTGGACGCGAGACCTGTGTAACAACAACCTGCTGTCCCTGGGGCGTGACCGCTACCATTTTTTGCTGAGTGGGCTGAGTAGCCGCTTGAGGTTGCAAAATGATTATCGTCTTTGCACCAGTGCCCTGTTGCTGGGTCGTCTGAGCCACCAATACAGTCTGCGCTTGGCCTTGGACTAACGTCGTTTGTGGTTGAGCCAGAACGTAATTCTGACCAGGGACACCGCCAGATACGACGTACTGTAATTGACCTCCTGCTCCCTGTTGCAGCAGAACCTGCGGCTGAGGCTGTGCCTGTCTTCCTTTCACTGCACCAGTAGGTATAATAACCTGATTATTCGGTTGAATTGTTTGTTGCACTACTATCTGCCTGGGAGCCGTAACAATGAGCTGCTGTTGAGGTTGAGGTTGATGCTGAGGTTGAGACTGATGCTGAGGTTGAAGTTGAGGCTGATGCTGAGGTTGAGGGTGAGTGTGAGTGTGAGGTTGAGGGTTAGTGTGAGGGTGAGGATGAGGATGAGGATGAGGATGGGGATGGGGATGGGAATGAGGATGAGGATGCGGGTGAGAGTGAGGATGAGGTTGAGAGTGAGGGTGAGGGTGAGGTTGAGGGTGAGGTTGCTGTGGCTGTTGTTGCACCTGAGGCTGTGACTGTTGCTGAAGCTGTAGCTGCAGCGGCGGTTGCGGTTGTGGCTGTGGTTGAGGCTGAGGTTGTAGTTGCGGTGGTTGCTGCTGTTGTGGTTGCAGCTGAGGGGGTTGTTGATTGATCTGATTAACGAATATGTGAGGTGGTTCCTCTTTTATCGCGGGAGGAGATTCTTCTTTAACATTTACGTTCACATTCTCGTCCAAATCAGTTTCATCTTCCATACAGTCTGCAGCTAGAGCAGCATAAAGATTGGCAGCAGTAGAGGACACGGTAGCTTTCTCACTATCCTTGTCATCATCCTGTTCCTCAGACTTTATACTCGAGACAGTGGATTCAGCGGTCGTCGAGTCGACTGCTGGATCTGGAGACATTGTACCGTTGGAATACTTTACTTTTTTTACATCCACCTCGTCAGATTCGCTAGCTTCGCGTTTAATCCCTCTTGGCGCTTCTATTAAAGTATCCTCAGATACTTCTGTCTGTATAACGTTACCTTCTTCCATTTCTATCTTCACCTTAATGTCGGTAGGAGATTCTTTTAAGACTTTCTTAATGTGATTCTCTACTAGATCCATTCCCTTCTCATTAATCGAATTTTTGCCTAAAACACCGTTCAAGATGGGCTCTTTGTCAACTTTCCTTTCTAACAGATCCGCGAGCATCATGCTTTGCAAAGGTTTCTCTTTAGACGTCACGCTGGACGAATCTTTCGAGGAGCCATCCTCCTGTGTATCAATGTCCATGTTACTAGGTGCACCGTTCAACAGAATCCCCTCGAAACTCGTCAAGGAATTGTCTTCCTCTACACCAACGCCTGAACAATCCCTACTACCACCAATTCCACTACTAGATGCTAGAGAATTGTTGGTCGAATCTGAATCTTCAGCGATCGAAGTGCAAGTAGAACGTTGACTCGCTTTGTTCGCTGTAGTCACGGTTGTAGTTGGAGGCCGGCATAGTTTGATGGTTGACGATATGTGATTTTCGGTCGAATTCAAAATCACGGTGGAAGAAGTTGTCGATGTTGCGATTTGGTTGACGTTTTCATTATCACTTACTTCAGTCTGAAAGGAAAAATGGTAAAAATAAAAAGTTTGATATTACAAAGTTTTTTGAACAGCTTAGATCGAATAATAATTCATATTATACAATTCCAAATATCCAAATTTTTACAAAAATTTTGAGGAACTTGTTGTACCTTGTCACAATTATTAGTCATAATAAATTTGGCTCCATTGAGCCTCTGTATCTTTTTGGCAGGAATGGGTGTAATAGCTGGCTTTTGCTTCGAGTTGACAGGAGTCTTTGGGAGTATTGTTGTTGAACTAGTTGTGGTTGCAGGTGATTGCGATACGTTGATCAACTGTTGCTGTAGTAGCCTCTGTTGCTGTTGACGTTGCGCAACCTGTATAACAAATAGAATTTAGAAATACTCATAGAAATAGTTATCTTTTTACAAAATCATTTTTCGTTTGTATTCTCTTAATAACTATAGGGAAACAATTTCAATCTTGAAAACCATGCTTTTGTTAGTAGAATACAAGATACTATTATTCTCATTGAATTCAAAAATAATCAGCATTGTTAAATATTATTCGAAAACTTTAAACGAACAATGGTACACAAGTAAAACAATTAAGAATGGTCTCACTTAAATTGATGTTCCAAAATAAAAGATAAATGGCATAACAAAAATATAATATTTGTGGCTACTTGAAAACGCAAACATTAAAAAGAAACTCTCTCTCTCAAATCAAATTTATTAGGACATACATCCACTAAGTACGATTCCAAGTGCGATATTTTCCTGTAAAATGGTTTTTCTATAATATAAATACGATTTTAAATTCAATCACCCTACATAAATATATTTAACATCACATTCAGTTCAATATAGTAATTCAATGTAATATAAACATGCTTTGTATAAAGTATCCTTAATTTCATCATTTTCTCATACATTAAGAGCAGAAAATGTCCATTTAATCTATGGTTGCACTTCAATGTAATGAGTTTCTTTCAAACAGTCTAGAAAATTACTTGGTATGCATAAATCAACTTATTTTACTAGACAAGATCATTGTCAGATTTATGTATATCAAAAACTCAACATCCTATAGACGAAAAAAATAAAAGAAAAATACTACAGTTTTCATTGTTAATGTACAACAATGATACCTGGTTGCTGGTTATTAGCTGGTTGGCACTGATGCTGGATGCGATGCTAGCAGTAGTGTTTGTTACACAGGCAGTAGGGGTAGACACACAAGTCGCAGCAGTACTGGGCATGCAGTCGCTGCTGACCGTTACCTTAGTAGCCAGAAGGCTTTTTATTATGGAACTGGATGTAGTACCACTTCGATTATCTTCTTTTGCAACTACCTGGATAGTTTGACACTGTTGCTGTATTTGCTGTGGCTGTTGTTGTGACTGTGTTTGTGAACCACTAGACAGCAATGCTTGACTCAGATGAGGATGTGATACTGACACCTAATCAAGAATTATCATAATGTAATTGTGATGCAATCATAATATATTACATGCCAGCAAAAATACTATTAGAATATAAAAATATTTATTCCCTCATTTTTTAAATGAAGTTATAAAGTCAGAGAAATATAATATCTTTAACAATTTGAATTTGTATTTTATATACATCGCATAATATGGCAAATGATTCAATGAATAATTCTCAATACTGATAATGAATTGCATCAATCATGATTATATGCATGAATTTTATTTTTCATGAAACTCGTAACGCATAATGTAGTTAAACACCTTCTCGTAGTAGCAGTTTGTTTATTATTAAGCATGATGTAAAAAAAAAAAAGTGAAATTAATCGAAAACAAGAATTTTTACTATTTGTTATAGAAGAATATAGACAGAGAGAACACCATATTATAGTATGGTACGAATTACACCTGCATGAAAAATACATTGAAAAATGTATACTTAAGAAATGAGATATCTACTTCATGCAGCAGTAAAGTTGATTAGATGACATCGTATTTATTACTATTATTGATACACACGTAAAACAGATTTGTAAGCTGCGATATATGTGTATAGTTATTATATATCAAGCAGAATAATTGAATTTGAACACACAAATTATTCCAAAAATTTTCAATTCATATAAATTCGTTTATGTTTAAATTGAGATTTATATTCATTAACATGTTTTATATACATCAGTTTGAAGTCAAGTCCAGCGTATTCCAAATGAAACATGATCACAGTTCTATGGTGATAAAATATGTATTTTATAGTAACATGTTTCGATAATCTGAATTCCGTTGTTTATATACATCTACTTATTTGCATGCACGTGTAGCGATGTAGGGATACACAGGATTCGAGGCATGCAAAATGTAACATTTGTTAAGGAAAGCCCATATTATAGATAATGCGTAGTGAAACCATAACCAAAATAATAACCAAGGTCATGAGTGGTAGAGAGAATGGTAGAAAGCTTAGGACTTGGACCCACCTGACTTTTAGAATCAACCTTGGTGACTGGATTTTGGGATTGAGTTGCAGTGTTCGAGGTGGTATTGGATGGTGGTTTTGGCGGGGCAGACAGTTGGGCTTTCAGGATAGGTGAGGCAGGGGCGGGAATTCTTAGTGGCCCAGATGCAGGATTGTCTAGGGCCGTGCTATCAGGAGCAGGACTTATACTCTTGATTGTACGCTGTTGTACGGGAAGCACCTTTACTGGCGTTGTGTTGACTGCTGGAATTGGAGCTGTGTTAGTCCCAACCGCAGTTTGGCTCGGATAAGTTACTTGGGGAGGTGTAGCCCGTACTCGAATTCCTTCATAATACTGAGTACCAGTTGTTTCACCTTTCAACGGATTTGGTCCAACGCTTCCACCAAATACAGATCTGTAGTTTAAAATCAATTTGTCTCAGCAAATTAACTTTTACCTAATCTACTATTAGTATTAGTATATACTAGTATATACTATTAGTATATACTAGTAATCTACTATTTGAAATAATTCATTAAAATAATTTTTTAACACATTTTTCTATTTTGCAGGAGAGTAAGCTACTTGTTTATACAACCTATACAATTCGTGTGAATACTAAATATCAAAAATCTAACCTAACACATCTTGGAAAGTGAAGTGGAGCAATCACGCCTCTTCTACCAATCTTTGTGCAGCAACCAAGGTATTTTTTGTACAATTCCTCCTGCTCTATGCGCACACCTGGAGCAGGTTCGAAAGTAGCTCTCAACCAACTCAGAGCAAACTGTTCGTTCTCCTGTATAATTTGTTGGTGCGCATGTTGTTGCTGAATCGAGTTGTTAGTTTCCACTGCTTCTAAACATGAATAAAAAATTAATAACGTCAATAAATATTGTTCAAACTTGATTTTAAAAATGATATAATTACTTTTACACGCACTGTGCGTTGTAGATTTTGTTACAGTCGCAGCTGGAGTGGTTGGTCGCGAGGGTGCTGGGCTAACGGGAGCTGGTGTTGCTGTAACTGTAGCTGGAGTAACCGGTACGGACGGGGATACCGTCGCAACTGGAGCGGTAGCGGTAACCGGCGTGTTCTGAGTAGTGTTTGGTGGTATCGCTACCGTGGACACTGTCTCGATCACTCTCATCAGAATACAAGCTTTCGGTCCGTAACTCTGCGCTTCTACAGTAACAAGGGCGACTAACGTGTCGATAGCTCCGCGTACCCGCGCGACGCTAGTACATGGCCTCTCACCCAACGAAGTTAACGCGTACAAACATTCCAAGGTATATACTAAAAGGGCTATGTCGTTCAGAGCTAAAAACCTGCAAACGAACACAATTCCCTCATTACAATATACTATGATATGTTTTCTATAAGTTATATTTATAATTCAGATGTTTTTTTTTTTAATTAATTTCTACTTGCTATATTTAATACAAAGATCTGTACTCAAGTATCAATAATTCAAATGTAGAGAAACATTTTTCTAGAACTTTGTATGTAAGAGAAATTAGCCTTGGAAATATATGTACTGAACAATGGCCGAAAATTCACCTGCATATAAGTTCATATACATTGTCTTCTAATCCAAACGTAACAATTTCTTCATTGCTGTCTTGTTGGCTAATTTTATTAAGCACCTCCAAGCAGGATATAACGATAAACCTGTCTTGGGATTCAATTCCCTTCGCCACACATGACAACACAACATCCGTTATCCTCTCACCAGCCTCTTTTAAGATTATTTCATTCGCTATGTTCCCTAATGTGTCGAAGCCAAGCTGATGCAAATTGCTCCACCTTGCCCTCACACATAGTAGTACGAATCTTAGAAAACACCGATTCCTTCCCAGTATAGCGGCGTTCTCCGGTGTAAAACTTAGATTCCGTAGGATAGATGCTATTTGTAGCACACGCTGGCCGTAAGGATCCTGTGTTCCTAACGTTCGTCCAACACAAAACAAGTCTTTGTCCTCTTCTTCGAACTTTATGGAGTTTTGGTTTTGATCTTTCAGATTTTCATCCTGATAGGATCCCATCGGATCCAATCTTGAATAATCTGGAAGTACCTACAAAGATTAAAAAAAAAAAAAGTATTTAACATTACAATTATTGAAATCGTACAATAAGATTTTTAATGTAAGATTATGTTTTGAAATCTAACCTAACCATTACGAGAAGTTCGTTTCAGAGACAAAATCTACCAATTATCGAGACACACAATCGATTATTCGATCATACCCCATCGACTTCCATCGACGTAGAAGCTTCATCATTCTCCGTTGGTGTGGCGCTTTTGTTCTGCTTCTCCTTCTCCAAGATTTTCCGCCTAGAGAAGGTCTGCGGGCTGGTTGTTGGCTTCTTCATGAACGTCCTCTCATTTGTTAGATCTATCACGTCCTGGGAGTCAAGGACATCCGACCAGAAAGAGTTGATCGAATAATTCCTCACGCGGGAATAGATCTCGATGAAGAGCTGCCGCGTGCCAGGCGAGTCGAAGACACCCGCGTGCGCCAGGAGAATGTTCACGAGACGGGGATACTTATCGAGACGTAAGATGTGCTTGCCCTCGTTCGACAACAACGTGCACACATTGATGGCGAAGTCCTGCTCGTTAGGAAGGGGCGAGAGGAGCGACAGTGCAAGCTTATCGTAGTTGGATGGCTTGTAGAGGTCCGACGAAAGGCCATTGTAATCACGAAGAGATTCTGCAAAAGACATACGAGGGACAGGAAATTAATTTCATGTCAATCATGTCACTTATTATATAAAAAATGTCTTCTTTCCTCTAAGATTTATTTTCTTGGTTTGTATTTCCTTTAATCTGTATTTCATTCAACATGTCATTTCTTTTCAATGATTCATTTTGTTTATTTACTTTCCGGGTGTAGCGCAAAAGACGAAGTCAACGACCTACAATTAGTCTGACCTACAGTTGACCTTAAACCTCAAGCTGAGACAAAATATTTAGTATAAATATATAAAAATATTTAAAAAATCTAGTTACGACTATCTGATGCACCCTTTATAATGCTATATAATTCATTTAAACCGTTTTTGGATACAAGTAAGACATAATGAGTTATTTTAGATGTTAGTTTTTATTGACTCACCTTGTATAATTACTACTTGAATGATTGATTGCAGTATATTATAATATGATATTATAACATAATAAACAAATGCCAAAGAGTTGAATCTGGTACGTAAGATCCCGATTATCTTGCGAAATCAAGATCTTTTTTTATCAGGACAGTTATCACAATAAGTCTCTCACTGCTTCTCAGAATATTATTAACATTTAACAACATTTCTTCTCCGAATTTAAAACATCATAACTGATAAATGCAACAGGGAGTAAATCAATTCTTTGAAATGTCTATAGTTACAGTATTGTACCTTCAGTTTGTTAATATTAAGGCTTTCAAGTTCAAGTCATGTTTTTGTGATTATGTTACCAGTCTGTGCATGATTTAATTTCTTAGAAAACTTAAAATAAGCTTTAACAAAGTTGAACTAAAACCTCAAGAATGTTAGACTAAGACTGACAAATTGAAATTCTTGGAGAGTTTCTTACACATTCTTTACATTGATCTCGCAGTTTAAGTAGAATAAAGGCGTTCTGTACGCGTGACAGTTTAATAATGCAGCGAAAATGAAAGTTTAACTCAGAGTAGAGCTCCCCACCTGAGTATTGTCAGAGTTAGAGAGTAGCTAGTTAACTCTAGAGTCTAGTAGGGTTTGATCAGAGTCAAAGTAACAGAATTAGAAGTTATAGTTCCATAATTGCAGTTTTATAATTTTAGTTTGATCCTGTACTAAATTTAATCTAGTGCAAATACATATTCTCATTATACTAACTTTACACTTTTCATCAAACACTATTATACATTGACTATTATACATATCATACATTGTATAGTTGACATTTACATAAAAAATTATCAAATAAAGTGGCTAAATAGTAATTTCAGGAACAATTCTCTCAGATATAATTAATTAAACAAAAACTTTTTTGTATTACAGATTTGATATTTGAAGTCAATAGTGAAAACTTTTGGTAATATTGTTTAAGTATTATATAACACAGAATTCTTTCATAAATGAAGGAAGATTGGAAGATCCGCTGCTGGGTGACCGGCGATAAGCTCGTGCAACTGGTGTGATCGACAAATCACGAGTATAAGTAGGTTGTACTCGGTCAGGGTCAGATTTCTACAAAGCAACGAAAATACCTTGATCGAGCGGAAAACGTATGTGTGAATTTAACCAACTAGTTGCACTAAATGATATGATAATTTTCAAAACTTTCAACCAGAAATTGATATAAATTTAACAAAATCGTATAAGGTACTTCAGATTACCTAATAAATTGTTATTTTGACAAATTTTTCTTCTAAGAATTTTTTACGCATCTCTACTAAAAAATTGTATCTAATAATTATTTTGATTAAATTTCTTTACTAATTAATCATAGTAGTTCGAATACGATGTATCATAATACACACTGGATACAAAGTCAAATATCTCTCCACTCGAAGTTATAAATAGCTTCATTCCCTATAGAATACAACAGTGCAACTAAAATTAACCACTTTTGTTGGCCATCTGTTAGCGTGGGCGTGTGATTAATCTATGAAAATTATTTAATCATACATTTTTATATAAACAAGCATAAAAAACTATTATAGAAATTGAATAAAAATATGTTGATGGCTAATCAATTGCAAATAATATGCTTTATTCGAATAAAAAATTGTTCTGTTCAAATCTGATAAATATCTAGTGACTTATGGACTGTAATATATACATACACATGTATGTATTTTCAAACCAGACTTATGTAGAATTACTTACTACTGTACGTCCTACCCAACCTCTATATCCTACCCAACTACTCTACTATAAATCACAAAATTATATACGTAATGTCCATGAATTACAAATAACCTTAATTTCTTGCACCGAACTTCTCTAGAACCCTCCTCTTCATAATCTTAAATCATCATGTCATTAATCATCAAACAGGAAAATAAATCACGTGCAACTCTGGATACAAGAAAGGTAAATGTACATGTTTCGCAGTGTGTTCTTTGTATCTGGCAGCGAATCGTTCGTTTCTAACGACGCGACACGAGGTTCGTGCAACTGCTTCGCAGAAAGACTTGAAGTTGCCGCGCTGTGAAGCAATATTATCGCAAATCGCGGTAATCTTTTTCAGCCGCAAAACCGCGATCAATATCGCGCGTCCCGGGAGAAATGCTACCTTTTGCCGGAAACTACAGAATCCGTCGGCGGAACGAAGGAGTGGGGGCAGAAGGTAAAACGAAAAAACCGCGCAAAAGACGAGAAAAGGATCGTTAATAAAATTGTGCCCCGGTCGAGATGCTTCTGATGTCCAGACGATAAGAGAGATGCGATTTCAATCTAAAACGTAAGATTTTTGTCCTCGGTCTGTTTTACAATTCGTAAATTTCAATTCTTTGTTACCCTACGAGTTCGTAAATTTTCGAACGGAACTTTTCAATATATTACCCATGCACCATTTCGGCAAATCTACCGTTAACCGCCATATTCTTTCGTAATGGATAATATTTCGCTCTCGTATTTTCTTTTGCAAATTTTGTCACATAATATTGTTTATCAAATAAATATGATTAGCTTCACTTTCCGATTTTGTGTTACTCGTTTTTGTGATAGGTTAGAATTTTTTTTAGAAGTTCCTTGAGAAACAAATCTAGTCAAGTGTTAGATTATTAGTAGCATGTCAAAATAAGGTTAATGTTATTTAAGAATATGACTGAATGTGTAGATAAGCGATATTTTATTACTGTTTGAATCAGTGTTTTCAAATATTGAATTAAAATTGCAGATACATACATGGTTAAATTTGAATTAAGAGCTCGACAGTAATTGACGAATATGAGAAGTACTTCACGAATGCTGGACGAATGGATAGAGGTAAATAGTGAAGAGGAGGGAGGCGAGAGAAACGGAGAATGAGAAAGAAAGAATTACGAGTGCACTATACTGACCTACAGACTCTGTTCGCGTTTGAGGTTAGTTTTACTTCGCCCAACCCAGAAAACGCAAGTTTCGATACTTTATTTTACACATATATATGAATGAGATAAATATTAATATAAGACAACAAATTAAGAGTAAATTTAATGACTTTCTAAATATGCAGGTTGGGTCATAAGTTGTTTGACACTAGTAATTATTCATCTTTTCATTCACTGTGGTTTATCCGATAAAAATTCGAGATCTTGAGTATTTAAAAAAACGTATAGAGTCTGAATTCAAAAACCTGTTCTCTCCACCTGCTTTCCAAACAAGGTTTATGACACGATTTATGCTTGTGTGTTAGTAGACGATATGTTTACACACTGTGTAGAACTATTCGTGTTTCTAATACAAAAAAAAAAAAATAAAAGAGAAAACAAAAATATTCAAGATTTAAATACATATTAGTTAAGCGATTTATGGAATTATTCTCTACTTTCATGTTGAAATGAGAAAATTGCATGATTGATCGTGGCTGGTCAGTATGAAAAATAGATAAAGACGAGGTAAAATAATAATTCTTGGCGATAATTAAGGACACTTTCGAGAACGACACGAAAAGTCCATTCTTGGCAGGAGAAATTAGTTTACTTCGATTAGCCAAGTTAAGATTCGCTTCCAGGCCTATGAGTTACCGCAGAACTTTCCTTGCACTACATCTTGACCTAATTTTATCACTCCACCGTTCGAGAAACAGAAGATTCTATTTTTCAATTTCATTTTTTGTAATTTTTTATATTTGTAATAATAAAGAAATAAAATATTAAGTTAAATCTACCACAGTAACACATACCTTAAATGAAAAAATTATAACCGACATTTTTTGTTAATTTTGTTTCGAAACCTAACCTAACCTTTGAATTTTCTATCTCATTATTTCTCGTTATTCCCCTTTTTAACTTCACCGTTGAGTCAACTCAAATTACTAAGATCTAACTTACAAGCGTCTACGTCAAGCACACCGATCACTGTCCGCCGCGAAGTAAAATCGAAGTTGACATTTAATTCATAGGTTTGCACATCGATACACGACCCGCGGATCGTGTTTAATAACTGCAATTGCTCCTTGTGTAACGCCTATCGACCACGATCACCCTACCGTTACCCGCTTTGCTCACTGTTCGCCTTTAAGTGGAATGTGAAAGAAAGGACAACGTTAAATCGAATTATGTGTCATTTCCTCGATTTGTTTCTTGGTTTTCTCTTCTGTACGAATTTCTGAATAAAGCACTTTTAAAATTGAGTTACTGTTTGTTAGACCACCCTATAAATTACAATTAAACAAAAATTTTTAAATTTAAAAAAAATTGAAAATTATCACAGTGACTTGCTATTAATTTCACCCAAGAACAAATTTCAGTAAAATTTCGTTCACACCGTATGTATTTCCATATTAAAGAATTAAAAAAAAAAAAAGTAGCAATTTATCATGACGAAAGTACGTATAAAGCTTGCGTGTTGATAATTCACGCAAACGCTTGACACACTGCCAAATTTTGGCGGAAATTCTAAAAGCAGGCGCTCGTAAACCGTTTTAACATAGCTCTTCGCGTCGATCAAAGCAGCGCAAATTTACAACGTGAAAAATTCATTTTCTCACACGAATATTTACAGTTAAACGCAATGACAATTAAAAGATACA